GGAGAGGGGTGACCTCACAGCTGAGTGTATATCGATGGCCTTCACAATGGGCCGGTCAAAATTGGCCAGGTTTTCGAAGGATTTGATCCTCTGTTTGACGGAGAAGGATGAGGTAGGTTCATGTGGCCAATCAGCTCATAGTAGTAGTAATTCCTTCTGAAGCCCCTCAGCTTATCAGCAGTGGGGCAGATGTCACTGGCTGAGGAGGACATTTCGTGGCCACTCAGGGTGCTTTTGGAGGTATACGCCTGCCCCTTCCCACCCTGGCCATTAGGCAGATTTGGATGGAGCATCTTTAACATTCCTGTTGCTGCCTGTGGGTATTTCTCCTCCGCAGCATGCACCTGGGAACCTTGTACACGGTGAACCTCTGCAACGTGGCAGTCCTCCCTCAAGTGACCTGATAAGTGGGCTGGCATTGAGTAAGTCCTCATCACAGGTTTTGACAAGCCATAGAGATTTCTGTCTCCAGTGGTGTCTGCTTTTGAGAAATACTGCATGGTCTCCATGTCCTCACTCAGCTGAGGCACTTCTGTGTTTGCCTCTTCGGTTTTCTCCAGTAATGGCAGATGCAAAAACGATGCTGGTGAGGAAGAAGTGGAGGAGGAGGAGGAAGAGGATGATGAGGAAGAAAGCTTCACCTCAATGAAAGTGCGCTGGATCTCCTGTTGAACTGAGGGGGCCCTCAACAAAGAACAGCCTCCAGCAGACGGTCCTACATTTTGCAGATCTAATTGCCTGAAGTCATCTGCGCTACAGATGCTCTTGATTGCGTTCAGGCCTGTTCCAGGGTTCTCAGTCCTTCCTTTCACATACTCAACTTTTGGTATGCCCTGAGGAGATGAACTGACATTGGACTGACCATTTCTGCCTCTGAAATCATCCACCTTATTACTCTTACCATGACACACTGCAGGCTGCACGGAAACTTGCTTTTCTTTTGGCTTTCCCCATGCCTGCTGCAGGTCTGTTAATTCCCCACAACCACATTTCATTTCACCACTCGCTGTTGGGCTGCCATTGCCATTCAGGAGAGGCAGAAGTAAATTTTCAGAAATGATCAGAGATGGTTTATTTTCTAGCTCTGACTTCAGAGTCCTTGAGGCTGCTGAAATGCTCTTGCCAGGATCTGGGTTTGTAGGTGAATTGCGGGGCAATGGTGTTTTCTTTCCCTGGAGTTTTGGGGACAGTTGTGGAGAAACAGAAGCCCTTTTCTGATCAGCCCCACTGACTTTGGTAGGATTAATGCCAGAAGAATCCGAATTTGTCTTTGCTTTGCTTTTGATGGTGAAGCCTTTTAGCTTTGGTCCTGCTTTGGCCTTCTGGTTATTTAAAAGAGTGTCCATTATACTTTTTTGTGCCATTCCCTTAGAATCCTGACAGGACTTTTTCTGTGAGGATGGACTGTGCGGTACTGCAGGTCCTTTGCAGTGATTTGTGCCTGAGCTTTGGACTTTTCCATTTGAAGTCCTTCCAGAAGTCACAGAGTTAATTTTCTCATTTTTCCCTGGCACATCATGAGTTGCATTAGCTTTTGGATCTTTAGATCTAGTAGGAAAGGGAGACCTTAGTGATATTGCTCTTGATGACAATGCAGTCACATTATTGCTGTCTGTTTTAGACAAGTTGGACAAACTGTTGGTTTCTTTCTTCACTAAGCAATAACTAACAGCAAGATTACAGTCACTTGCCACTGTTTCGCTTTCAGATTTGGATTTCTGCTCATTGTCGCATCCTTCTTTCTCAAGCAAGTTGTTCTCCAAGCCATTGACATTTCTAGCAGAGCAAAAGCTTGTCTTTTTGCAGTGCAGAGACCCTTTCTCTTCAGTGGATTCACAGCATTTCTTATGTCCGTTTCCCAAACCCACTTGTTCTTCTGTACTTAAGGCACCATTGTTACAGAGAGAGTAAACTTCAGGGATATTGACTGAATTCTTTAGGATGTCTTTTTCTGGCAGGAAAACTGAGGAAGGAGAACACAAGGATGCAGTGGACACATCTGAACACTGTGAGGAAAGTTGAGTGGGACCACCATGATCTTCCAAGCCTAGTTTGTTGATGCTTGTCTCCAGCAACCCACATGCTGCACAGCCCTCAGTTTGCAAATCTTTGCTGCCGTAAGGGTGCAGTGGGGACAGAGAAGATGAGCTTGTTGCAGATGTGAGATGCTGGTCCTGTGTGGGCTTTTCTGGCTGATTGTTCATGCAACAAATCTCAATTTGCTCTTCATCTGACTCTGTTACACTACAGCCTGCAGGGGTGTTAGCAGCAGCAGCAGCACATGGCCCCAGCAACACCTCATTAGTACTGTCAAAGACTTCTGTGACAGACTCCGAGTCCGAGTGAGAATCCTCTGCAGCCCCGTACATAGATTTTGGAAACAGGTCGCTTGCCTTGCCTTCCAGAGAGTTTGCTACAGGCAACTCATCCTCATTTAAACTGCTAAAGTTCCTAGAATAGTTATTTAAAGAGTTTTTATTCACAGTAAAAATCTTGCCTGTATTAATGGAGTCCAACACAGACAGCCCCAGAACCCCCTGTGCATTCACTCCACAATTCACAGCTTTTTCCAGCAGCTCCTCCTTGGCTGGCCGTGGCTCAGACCCGGGACAGCCTTCGTCAGTCCCACAGCAGCACATCGTAGTGTACTCATCTCGGAGGGGGCTTTCTGCTCGCGACGGGGTGCGGGAAGCCCTGCTCTCGGGGACACCCATTCGGCCGAGCAAGTCATCGATATCAGTGACGGGGATCGCGGCAGCGCAGTCCCCGGGGCGGCGGCTCTTCGTGGCACCTCTCTGCACGTCCTTGCTCGTGGCATCAGGTGGCGGTGTTGTTCTCTCCGCGCCGCCGTCGCCACCAGCACTCTGCAAACCTGCTCCTTCTCGCTTCCCAGCACTCGCTTCTTCGTCAGCTGCCAGAACACTGTTGACATCAGCCTGATTTTGACTGTCTACCCCAGGAGACAGGATGAGGTTTGTAAATCTGCTGACAGCTGCATCGTGATGAAAATAAATTTGAAAAAAAAAAAAAAAAAGAGAGAGAGAGAGAAGGAAAATCCTGTCATATATAGGAAGTGATACACAGAACTATGGGTTTTGTTACAAAAATAGACACCCACATAGTCAGACTACATGTTTTTGTTTTGCTCTGCACTCCTCCTTTCTGTAATGGTGCTTGCAACAACTCAAATTAATCACAACCCCGTGTATTTGACTAGCACACAGGAGGGAGCAATCCACTTATCCAAGGTGAGTTGTCATGATCTGTTTAAATCTCGAAGTTGAAACTTCAGCAGCCAAGCAGGCAGCTACTCCAGTGTCAGTGTGCAGGTAAGTCAGGCTGAGCAGTACGCTTCTCATTGCTTCTTTGATCAAAGATGTCTCCAACAGATTGCAGAAAGCACACAAAGCCCCCGCACAGCAAACAAAGGTGAACAGATAACAAGCTGTGCATAAATAACCTGACTCTGATCCCCTCGGCACTTCTGCAGGTGTTTAATGTGACATGCATGGGTGATGTTATATACACATTAAGCACATGGGCTTTACGGGATTTCTGGCCCAGACCTTTCCTTGCTTCTAGTACATGTTTAACCCGCTCCTGGGCATCACACTGAGCTCCCTGTCACTGCTGCACTCTGACACACTCCTGTTCACCTACTCCACCATCTCTCCAATTTTCAGCACTTCACCCTAAACATCTGCTTGCATCATTCTATACTGCTTCTGGGACACACATCCCCATTCAAGCTGCCAGTTAATACCAGATGAGGGCATGGAGAAGGAGTGGTGTATTCACAGAGCCAGCATCCTTTCCTGCTCATTCACCCATGCCAGCATACCTCTCTAATCCTTGCACAAACCTTTGGGATTATCCACACCACCTAACTCAGGTACCCAAGTTAAGAAGTGCAGACTCCTCCTGAAGATAACAAAAGGGAAGAGTTATTTGAAGCAGCCAGACTAGATTTGAAGTGCTGCCCTGCTTCACCATGCTGGAGCACACGCTGAAGAGACCCTCTTCTCTGCCCATGGGGCAGGGCAAGGGGAAGTGTAGAACAGAAGAGCTGCTTGATAAAAGGGATCCCAATATGTCCCTACCCCACTGCCATTACCTTGCAAAAGCCACAGCAACCTAAGGAGACAAGCACGGGATTGTGCCAAACCAGGAATTCCTTAAAGAACAACAGGAACTGAAGCATATGGAAGCACTTTAGGCTCCCAGGTATTAATATGTACATGAAGATCATAAGCTAGAAAGAAGCAAAATATTATGTTCTTCCTGAATTTGAAAAGTATGCTTCTCTTTTTCAAACGCTCTCTTCCACACCACGTAATTTGTACGGTCTGTGGGGATGCATATATTGCTGTAGCAGCATAAATCAGCCCTAAGCAGAAACTAAGGAGGTATAAAATATTTCAATTCAAAGTTGAGAACTGTTTATAAGAAACACACAAATAAACATTTTGATGATATTCCAGTTTTCTTGGGTTTTCTTTTCTATCTTTCTGCACATTAGCGAATTCTGACCCACAAAATGAAGGAAGGACGAAAGAATGGATTAAAGCAAAACAGAAAAGACAGAAAAGAGGCTTCTGTCACCGTATTGTCCATTAATAAATATATTACCTAAATGTCAGATTTAAGAGAGACAGATGTGATTATAAGGGATCAATATATATGTACTAAATAAGCACAGCAGTAAAAATGGGTTCTCAGGACAGGGTTGCTGCTGAGTTAGCTCCAGATCTTCATGGCTCAGACCTCTGCAAATGCTGGCAAGAGGGCAATGCTGTAAGTGGGAGCTTTGAGTGCTTCACACAGGAGTAGGATTGCTCCCCCCATCCTGGTGCTCAGGAGCACCCTGAAGCCTGCTTTGGTGATGAAGTGCTTTGCCTGGTTCACCAATACAGACACAGTGTACCCCCTGTTTTTAACCTGAATCCATGTGGGAAGCTGGGGCAGTAGAAGATCAGACCCATCTGATCCAAAGGGATTTTCTTCACTGGTACTCAGAATAAAAGATATGAAAGCAAATCTACTCTCTCACCTGCTGCTGGTTTCTGGATCTCCAGGGTTACGGATGTGGGAAGACACTGCATAAGCAAGCAGATTTCCTCGTACGTCATCTTGCTGACTGGGATACTGTTGATGGTGGTAATCTCATCTCCTACAGCCATCTTTCCCATTGATCCCTGATGAAATGACAGATTCAAGGAAATTATAAACATACATTCAGAAGCCCTGCCACAGGGGCAAAGATTGCAGCCGAAGCAATTAATGGCTTATGAGTAACATTTTCTGTTTCACACCACTGCAGAGCACAGGTACTACTGCTGGCAGTTTGCCAACATGTAAATAAAGACCAGACTGTGCTTTTGCCAGGAAAGGAATTAATGATCAGTCTTAAACAGGAAGGTCGAAACAGCTGCTGGTTTTGCTGCAAGATTAGTATCAGGATGGAGAGCATAACCCTCTTCATTTAAACGAACTGGGATGAATCAGCCCTAGATTCTTCAGGAGTGGAACACTGTCTACCATTTTGGCATGTCGTGTGTATGTTATATTCCTGGTCACAACCTCCCATTGGGCCAACATGACTCTCATAAACAACTAAATTGTACAGGGACTGAGTTCTTATGGTAAAAGCCTAAGTATGTTTCTAAACACTGCACAACGAGTCAGAGAAAAAGGCAAGAACAGTAGCCAAGTCCTCAGCTCTCACAGCACAATTCAAACTGCTACAACATATCCCCTCTTATCTCACTGGCCGCTAGCTAGATTAAGAATGCTACAGCAGCTTTGTACACCATCCACCCCTCCTTCTCTCTTCACGCACTTTTGCATCTAGGTCAGCAACACTCAGCAAGCAGCAAGTATCCACACTAGTATGTGCATGCATGAACTGCAGAAGAGCTGTACATTGCTGGCACTACCATGGCACTTGACAAACCTGGCGAGAACCTAATTTAGATTCCTTCTAAATCAGAACCATATCATTTAACAGCAGCTTCAGAACAATACGGGATGAGACATCTTGCCCAGCAGAGACAAAGATCTCCCTTGCACTTGCTCTCAACAGATCACTTGCTGCTTAATACTACCACTACTATTACCACTACTAATCCCCACAAAGTGAAAGTATATCACAAAAAGGCAACTCAAATTAAAAAAAAAATTACCATTTCTGCTGCTCCACCTGGCCGCAGCCCTGTGACAACAACCTTTAAAGGCATAGCCTGGATTTCCAAATCCAGGCCAAATGACTCATGCTCATTGCGAACCAGAGTGACTATTTCAACCTGGCCCTGCCTGGCCGCATCAGATGCTTCACACTTCTTGCTGTGAGGGAGTGTCCTTGCAACAGGCTTGTTATAGGAGCCATGCTCCTCCATCCTCTGTCTCTGAAGGCTTCGGCACTCGGTGCTCATCATGCTTTTCACTCTTGTGACTGCCCTGTGCTCAAGTTTTGGCGATCTTTTAGATTCAAGTTGTGCTTCCCGGAGCTCCTTCAAACTCAAGCTGCCAAGCCGAACTTCAGGCACACTTGAGTAATCGAATGCTATGATGGGGAAGAAAGGAGAGTCAATCTGCTCTAGTGTGCTGTCTGCAGACTCCGCAGAGTTGCTGAAGACAGGGGAAGACGTATCCGTGCCACTATATCTAGGTGACTCACTGTCCTGGCTCTCATCATCAATTTCTACAGATGAGGTTGTAATGACAATGCCAGTGTCCTCCTGACTCTTGGCCCTCTGGCTTCTTTGCAAGTGGGAACTCTCATCATCATCACTAACGTCACCATCATAGAAAACAACCCTCCTCTGTCGATGAAAGGGGCTGCGAGCAGATTTGGGGCTGTCACTGAGGATGCCAGGTCGGACAGACTCCACATGCTTGTTGTGAAGGCTGGACGATCTCCCACTTACTGGAGAAGCCAGACCATTTGCTTTTGCCATTGTTACTTCTCTAACAGCTAAAGGAAAAAAGAAAAAAAAAAGTTATACTTGAATGCATTTATAGATCATTGTTAATACTATGTATCTGACTGCAACAGAGTATGCATAGCTCTGTTTGCAGAGGAAGCTTAACTATTCCTCAAATAGCAAAAAGCGGTTTTGCCTTTTGTTTTTCATTCCCTCCCTCTAACGACAGTAAACAGCAAGAGGGACAGCCCTACAATTTATAGGTAATTCTCAAAATCAGTTCATGGCACATCTGGTTCTATTTTTAGTTTATTTCTAAATTATGATGATGACCTAAAGAAGAAAAGGATGCAAATTCACATGTGTTTTTTACTTTAAACAACGGAATTTCTTTCACATTTTGCTTAAATCTATGCTCAGGAGTGCCTGCATCAACTTACAGAGAGTGAAAAATGCTTTCCTGAGCAAAGACACAAGCACACGACAATTAGTTTCAAATTAAAGAATAATAAACCCAAGAACCCTTTCCACATTCCTCCTAGAAAGGAATCGATCCTATTTTGTAGAATGTTTTTGCTTTTTTTTAGTGTGTATTTTAAAATGTAAAAATGCTTTTATAAAATAATGAATTTCCAGAGAAAAATAAAGCAGAGACAAAGACACTACTTGAGAAGTATAAGAAAGGGAGAACAAATGTAATATCCTTTGAATCTGAGATCAAGTGCATGTCAGCAAGAAAATGTAGGATTCTTTTAATCAATTACTATGGGGAGAAAGACACATATGCAAAATACCTGATGTCAGATTGAACATTTGCTTGTTTTTACATATACGTGACATTTTGAAATTTTGTGTTTGAGCGAGCTATGAACATTTTTATTTAAATACAATCAATCAGATGATCATCAGTCATTTGTAAAAAAACCCTGCAGTGCTGTCAATCTAGTTTTGGCCAAACCAATCAAATAAAGTCATTTTCACATAATCAGAGCAGCAATTTGGACAAAATACCATGGAAACGGGCACTTATGTGCATTGTTGTAAACCTCCACCATTTCCCAGAATTTCATATGATTAGCACTGGCTTGCACTATGCTGCCTGGCATTTATTACCAGCACAGGGATCACTGTAGCATTACTGTAAAGCAAACCAGTGCTCAGTGACTCTCCCCCAACTAGTCGAATGACCAGATCCATTTCTGTTGCTTACTCAGGTTGCCAGGAAGAAGAGACCCATCATCCAACAAACTGTTTCTGTTCTTCTGACGGAGCTGCTCTTCGTTGCAGGAGCCAGTCAGAGCATCAGAACACGGGAGCTGGCTCAAACTGTCGTGGGAGAAGTACTGGGACAGCTCTGCCTCGGAGCTGACAGATCCCTGCTGAAAAGAAGTGAGCCTGGTGACCAGCGGTCATCAATGCGTAAAGCCCCTGTCTGCGTGCAGGCACCAGAATCTCCATTCACACTGCCGTGTTTATAAAAGAAGTCTAAAGCCTGTTTTTAAACTAGGGAATTTTTTAGTAAAGTTTTTTAGCCAAACTGTCAAACTTGGATGGCTGAAATGCTGCTCATCGACACATTTTTAGTATGTATAATAAATAAGAAAGGATTACAAATCTCACTACTTTGCAGGTGTGGTTCAGTGCCCAAGCAAGGGATGAAGCCATTCACTTGTGTCATTCCCTCCATGTACACCTTCTGTACTAAGAGAAGGAAAGAGCTTGTACCTCTGGACACAGCTTGCATGGCTTCTTTGGCTTTCCCAGGAAACCCAGAGACTTTTCCACTGCAATGGCTATATAGAGAGAAGAAGCACTCAGCCTACTGCCCACAGTCTCAGGTTTCTCCTCTTAAGTTTTTCTCTGCGTTCTACAGAGCTGGGGTGCCTTCAAAGTGGCAGCAGATGGGAGCTTTCTCTGCCATGCTCTGCACATTATTCCCAAAGACTACAAGCCACACAGACAAACAGGAGGTTGCTGCTGTCATGATTTAAATGTGTGACTTAGGAAACAAAGCCTTTTATGGAGCCCATGTCACAGGGAAGGAGCACAGAGGTTTGCTTTTGAAATCCTTGATCAAGTAAGAGCTTCAGTAAAAGCAAATTTTGAAGCAGACAAATTGCATCCAATTCTTTTACCCGGCTTGCTGGCTCCAGGAAGCGTTTCATAGTCCAGCTGAGGGGAGATGAGGTCTCTCCTTGTTTGGCCTTCACACTAGGAGATGGACTTTTTTGTACAGCTCCTGATAAACACAGTTTAGTTAGATGAAAAAAAAGTTGTGGACCATATACCCAAACAAGCTTCTCATCCACCTACTGAGCTAGGGGCTGCGTTTAATTCCACTTACTATCTGAATTGCTTTCCTAAAGCGAGGTTTATTTAACGTTTTGCAATCTCTTCTACAGATCAGGAGAAATGTTATCGCAGAGACACTTTACCCCAGCCAGGCCCAGGACAAAGCTATGAACAAGAGATGAGCAGAAGATTGTTTTCTTTACACACTAGAGCATGCTGATGACTAAGTGCAACCTTGAAAGACGAATTAGCAGCCACCAGCAAGATCTGCTTCAAAAAAAGTCTTAGCTGACACAAGTGGATAATTACATATCTAACATTTCTGTCTAAAATCACCTGACCAGTTACTGTGCTATTGCCAGGAGTTTGCTTTAATCTGTAAGATTTTAGGAAGTGCTAAGCCTGGAGTTCAAAGACATCAGACAAATGCCAGAGCACACATTTTGACACAATCCCAAAGATTAAAATGACTTAAAATATATAGTCCAGTATGCAATATCTGGACTTTTTCAAATGGACACAACAGTCATTTCTCCTTTTTTGTTCTGCCATCTACATGGGTAAGTGTACACAGATGG